CCTATCCCCTGTGTGCCTTGCCTCCCACGACTAATAAATAAATTATATTATGGTACCGTACCATTTATATTTGGTATAAGGAAATCACAATTACTTATAACCATTCGATATGAAATCTCATAGTTTGAGTGTCTCATAAAGTTTGAAATTTTTTTTTTTAATCTTTGTGTTTGTTCAATGGAATAAATTGAGCCACTGAGTTTCACATCCAATAGTCAAATTAATTATGACCACTTTGTATCAACGGTAAGTGATCTAATTGTACACGTTTTCCACTATTTTATAAGAAAGAGATTCTAAATAAATTATTTGAGAGAGGGAGTTAATAAACTATACTATGCTAAACATCATAGGAGAGAGAGACTAAATAAGTTATATGAGAGAGAGTCTAAATAAATTATGCGTGAGAGAGAGAGAGAGTAAATAAATTGTAACATGCTCCTGTGGTTGGAAACATCGAGACATGTAAATATTGAATAATTTAAGTTCAATTATTTTCTATTTTAATTCCCATTTGTTATCTTTATTCCTATGTTGTTATGATCCCTTGCTATTTTATATGTCACAACTATATCGTTCAAGATTATGTAATAGAATAAAAATGTGGGTTGGATACAATGTACATAGTATGAACTCTAGGAGCTATAAGGCCCCAAGGCATAATCAAATATCAATAGATGTCACATGAATAATAGTTTGTGTGTTTGTGTCCGAGAGAGAGAGAGTTATTGGGCTGCTAAGTCTCACCAATTTTAAGTTCAATCTAAATAAGTCGATATTTGGGGTTAATGGTTGTTAATAATTGTACCAACTTTGTATCAAGGATAAATAGTCTCAGTATATACAATATATTTTTCATTTCCTTGTATGAGCACATAATCTTTTCACTATTTAAAAATCGAAAAAAAAAAACAAAAATACCAAAGTATTTTTGACAAATAACTTTATGGAGTAAAGTGACCCGGTATCGAAAAGACTGTTGGAGATATAGTGAAGAGGCATCTCAACCTGATAGGGGTGGTAATGGGCCGGGGTAGCCCGGCCCGGCATGGTTAGCCTGGCCCTAAAACATGGGGGCCTGAGGCTACAAAATGTGGCACAAGTGCCGGGCCTATACATATAAGAGAAACATTTATATGTATATGCACAAATGTAATTTATAATTGTGTAAAAACCTATAGTTTAATCAAGATCAAATGACTAAGAGTAAATCCAAAATAATGTCACATATTGATATCAAATGTCATTTTAACATCAAACAAAATATATAAACTAACTCACATATTTATAAGAGGAAAGGGGCATGAACTTATGGAAAAATTGTCTCGTGCCTGCTGGACCGCATGACTACATATGCGGTCCAAAAAGTGTAAAGCATCCATCTTAAATATGGATGCAAGTTGGTGTTCTATCTAAAAACAATATAAACTAGCGGTCCAAATGTTTTCTTACTAAAATTATTATTTCTAGTTTTTAAAATTTACTTCCTTTTCGTATTCATGATCTCCATGTTAGATATTACATGTCCTTAAAAATCAAATCCAAAAATCCATCTCAAAAATAGATTTATTAATAGGCCCGTATTTCTACATATGCGGGCTTCGCTGCAAAGAAACTGGGTCCTAAACCATGTTAGGTATTGACTTGGACACCTTGGCCAGGTTTTTTCATGTGCCCATGCTCCAAAGGATGGTAGCCCGATGGTGGAGCATGGTACCCCAATAGTCCCGTATCTCTCTCTCATCTTCTTCTAAGATAGAAAAACAAAAAGAGAAAAACCAAAAAAAATATCACTCGAGCAAATAGGGATAAGAACCTATAAGCCATTCCATTTATGCTACAGTATGCATTAGTTGGCTAAACGCATGTTGAATTTCACTTAATGCATATGATTTAAAATAAATAATTTTCATAACTCAATTGACTTTGTTACTGTCTAAATCCACTGTTCATCAAATGGACAGCCTTCTTTTCTTGAAAATGGTGGGCTCACTATTTTATTATTGTGCAATTCTTTTTATCTTCTTATGAGAGGAGCATGTGTGTAAAATTTGGGGTGAAACAATTGATCTGGCTCCACAACTAATAGTGCATTACACACCCAAGAGCTCATGTAGTCTTTTTCTAAACAATTGTCTATAACTCAATGTCTTTGCTCGATATAGTGATTCCAAGGATTGGTCAGATCCAGCAAAACCTTTCTGGATGGGCGAATTACCGATTCGGATCAGCAATATGGCCAAGTGAATCGGCCAATAAAAAATAAAAAGTTGAAAATAAAAAATAAAACTAATAAAAAAGTGGAACGGGTCACCTAGGTCCCTTACGGCCAGTTCTTTTTGGAACCATATGTTTCCTGATATATTTAAAAAATTGAGCCAATCCCACGATTTCCAATCCAGATAGATCAATTCTGATCCGGATCAATGTTTTTAAAAACATTGTTTTAAACTTTCTATTTTTCGACTCTTTTAAAATATGATACTTTTAAGTTTCAAACTTTATTTTATTTATATTCTTGAGCTTGGTGATCGAGATTATCACAATGAAAAATTTGTTCTAAATTCCATCTGGATATTCAGAAGGGGACACGTATAGATTCGTCAAGAGTTCAAAAGTA